GATGAACCTAGACAAGGCGGCTATTCGCCCCGTCAGCTTTTGCACCTGCTTTTTGCTGTTCAGTATCTCGGGTATTGCGTCTATCGCCTTGATCTGATCTGGGTTGACTTCGATACCTCGTTGTGATACGAGAACCCCTAAGAATTTTCCTGAGGCCACGCCGAAGGCGCATTTCTCGGGGTTCAGTTTCATCCCGTACCTTCTCAATATCTCGAAGGCTTCTTTCAGATGGTCGATGTGGTCCTCTTTTCTTGTCGACTTTACCAGCATGTCGTCGATATAGACTTCCATAGTCTTACCGAGCTGCTCTTTGAACATTTTGGTGACCAGTCTCTGGTACGTAGCCCCTGCATTTTTGAGCCCGAAGGGCATTACCTTGTAGCAGTAAGTCCCTTGGTGGGTGATGAAAGTTGTCTTCTCTTGGTCCTCCTCGGCCATCATGATTTGATTGTAGCCGGAGTAGGCGTCTAGGAAGCTCAGTAGTTCGTGTCCTGCAGTGGCGTCAATCAGTTGGTCGATGTGGGGTAGTGGGAATGAATCCTTTGGGCATGCTTTGTTCAGATCAGTGAAATCCACACACATTCTCCACTTCCCGCTTTTCTTTTTGACCATGACGACATTGGCGACCCACTGGGGGTACTTTGATTCTCTGATGGAGCCGTTGGCCAGTAACTTGTCTACTTCCTCACTGACCGCTTCGTTGATAGCGGCGTTGAATTTTCTCCTCATCTGTCGCACGGGCGGATGTAGTGGATCGACATTCAGCTTGTGGGTGGCGATGTCTCGCGGGATTCCCGGCATATCTGAATGGGAAAAGGCGAACAAATCTGCATGGTTAGTTAAGAATTCACGATACTTACTTGGGTTGGCGAGGCCGTGCCTGATATAGGCTTTCTTCGTAAGATTGGTTTCGTCCAACTGGACTGGGTCAAGATCTTCGACCGTCGCTTTACAGGCCTCCACGACGTCGGGATCTTTGATGGCGTCCGTTGTCGGGTTGACCTTAGTCCCCAACACGGCTAATTGCTATGCCTCCGCGCTCGCCCCCTTTAGCGGTTGGGTGTGGGCGCAGTCTTGGGCTATTTTGTAGCATTCTTGTGCGGTGCGTGGCTCGCCTCGAATGACTGATATCCACGGGCGTATGGATAATAAAGGGGGCGTACCTCTTTCTTTCGGAGGGGGCGACGTGTCGCTGTAGCGCGTCTGTATGCCTTGGTGGCGGATGGGAGGATTGGTGTATGGCTGATGTCGATCTCTGTTGGAGCGGGGGAGTTGTTCTCGTCGTCCTTCTTCGTCGATCTCTCTCGTTTTGAGTTATCGTGTTAGCCGTTGGGTCGGCCCATTAAGATCATCCTCGTCCGCTCGTCCTCGGCCCCTCCTTCCGTCGTGTCCCTCTCCTGTGGTGCTAGGGCGAATTGGTAGTGACACCCAATATAGCTTTCGATCTTGTGTTATTTCGGCCATCCTCTGTTTTTGGGACGGGGTAAAAGAAGGATATTTTAGAATTTGATTTTAATGGGCCTTAATATATCTAGTCTCCTACACGTTTAGGATTTATATATATTAAAAATTAGTTATGCATATATATTGTTCATCCACCTTTCACACATTGTGCCTGATTACACACATAAGCAGAAGGTTCTAATGGACAATAATTACTGCTATCCATTAGTACATATTTATAAGGGAATCATGAACTTCAGAGCATTTTCTTAAACATTTTTAAATTGGTTTTGATTCTTCCATACAAAATGACTATCTTCTCATACGTCTACTGCAGTAATTCCAAACATGTGTTTCTATAGTTTCAGCACTTTTTTATTTAATGATTTTTAAGGTATGGACACTTGTTATATGATCCAGGGCTTTTTTTATTTTAGATATTAATTCTAGTATATTTTCTTATTAAATAATTCTTATTAGGATAAGTAGGATATTTAGATTATTTAGAAGGGTATCAACAATTATTTGCATTACGCAGCAATAATAGTCAAATCCACAAGAGGGTCGAGTCATAATATTTACATGTGAAAGATAAAGTCCAATTAAATGATCAATATGGATAGTCGAACAATGACTTATTTGTCGAGTGTCACTGTCGAGGTTAAAATTTTAATTTATTCAAAAATTAAGGCTTCGTACATGCTTATTGATACATAATCGAATTAACCGATGAATGGGATAGATCATAAGTACAATAATGCCTTTGAGCTAGTACAAGTATCTGGTATCTTCATATCAGATCATACATCTAATCGAAATAATTATAGTTCCTTTGCTGCATTTACAGTAAACATCACCAATTGATAGAAAGTTTCAGCAAACCGGCAATAAGAATCAACATTAAGGCGTTATCTGATGACTGTACTGGAGTCTTTCTCCATGGCTTAGCTTGCGTTGCATCATTCACCTTTGATGGTTCTCTTTCCTGAACATTAGTAAATGAAATGACTGACTGCCCAATATTCTCTCTAATGTAGTGACTCATTCCCTGTCAATAGATGTGGAGACTGTTCCCCATTCACCTCGATCAACTTGATGGAGTTGTCACCCCAAATTAGGTGCGCAAACCTCAGCAAGGACACTGAGTCCATAAGAGGGGGGATGTAACCCCATAGAAGGCCCCACCTGGTCAGGCGGCCTAGCGGAACATGCTTAATATTTACCGTGCGAAAACCTAAATGAGCAAAGACGAAATACATTTCTCTTCACACTATCAGCTTTCAAATGGTAAGATCTCTACAAATGTTGTAAAATGATTGAAATCTATGGATGTTGCTATTTGATATCGATGTTCTCCCCTCTCTTTGCGTGCTTTTTAGTTTTAAGCTGTTTTGCTTGGTATTGGTAATAGACCTGAAATACTAACTATTCAATTCTATTTAGAAGTTCCAAAGTAGGGGCCAGCTATAGTATTAAACTATCAATCAGATGGTGCTTTTTCTTTTGATAACTAATCAGATAGCACTTTTTCCATGTAATAATACTGAACCCTTTTTTTTACAGGGATTGCTGTATGCAGAAAATGATACCCTATTTGAGTCTACTGGAATGAATGGGGCTGTGAGTTTTCCTCTGGTTCTACAGTTGACTTTTACTGATTATTTCTTAGGAAGATTTGATTTACCAGAATATTTTCTTAACTGATAGTGTTTATGATATTTGACTACAGTCATCTGTTCGGAAGGTCACTCTGCAGACTGGCGAGGTAATTGTCTTAGATCCTCTGAATGAAAGATGGTGTAAAGTAAAATAGTTTAGTTAAGTTCTTATATCATTTCAATTGTTATGTTCAAAATGAGAATTTAAAAAGAAAACGATGTGATAATTTTAAGTTAGAGAACAGGATACAAAGGATGGGAAACATAATTGCACTAGAAGATGCAATGAATGTAGAAGCTTAATCCCTATTAAGGAAACATCCTGCCATATGATAACTTTGTAAAGTGCTGATGTTTCTTTTATGCAGCAGCTGCCATGATATACATTATCAAAAAAAGAAAATGTGTTCCCATGAATATTGCCAAATGTATAAGGGTAATGACGCGGCTTACTTTCTGGGAGAATTTGATGCTAATCAATGTTGTTTTTGACTGGTAAATGAAAACATGTTTTTGTTGCCCACATGGATATAGCCCTTTTGGCTAAAAGACTGGTTACATATATGATCGGCATAATCTGAGCAAAGTATGTTGTTTATGCCTTTATATTTATTCATTTTTTGCAGTTTTGTGCTATTGATGTTAGTAGTGGCTATCTGATGGACTGGCTGCTCTGTATATATTGTTCGATAGGTCTACTTGTCAATTGAGTCTTTTCCCGAGTTGTCACTAGCTAAGCATCTCAATACAGTTTCTTTGATGAACATCTCTATACTGTTATCTATAATCAATTGTTCTGCATTTATTTTGATATTGCTGATAAATGCTTAACAATGACATGATATAGACAACTACAGTCAGACCTCTCTATATCAACATCTCTATATAACAACCATTCATTATAAAAGCCAAGTTTTTCTCGGAACTGATTTTTATGTTATGTTATAGTATATGTCCTCTATAACATCCAAAAAATATCGGAACAAACGAGGCCGTTATAAAGAGGTTTGACTTTACATCTTTATCTTCAAGATATTAACTATTCTTCAAGTGTATATTTCAAACTGGAAAAAGAATTCCATTAACCTAACTTCAATTTCTCTGCTCGATGAAGCCTAAGCTGGTTTTATTTTGATTCCAGTGCCTTCTGTATTCAGCTACTTGAACAGAAAGAGTGCCATTTCCAGAACGTGAATCTTGGCTTGTAGTCCGTAGTCTAATATACAACACAAACTGCCATTTGTAATGCAGAAATATGCTGTGTATTAATCCTTGCCCGTTTGGGATTGTGGAGCGAGAAATGCTAGTATTTGCATGTATTCCTCTATATTGCTTTTTTTCCCCCATTCTACCTCCTCAGTAACCTAGTTTGAGAACCTATCAAGGTGATGAAGTTCACAGACTAAATGAACTAGAGTATGTTCATGATGAAGTTTGGGCAAATGTTTGGATGGTATGGACTTGCTCCCCACCTTTCTGGTTATATAACAAGGATACAAGGCATCATTCCGCTAATGTGTGAGCCTCATCGGAACTGGTTAGTTTGCTTTATGCTTTTCTTACCTAAAGTGTGTGCAGTAACTGTGCTTTGTGCTCAAGTCTTAGCAAACTTTGGTGATCTTTTGGCTTTTCTCCTTTGACAACAATACCAGTTCTAGTAAAGTATATAATGCCTTCTGTTTGATTCTGAAGCCCAAACATTTGAATAATTTCGCTTACAACTCAAGTGTGGTGTAGGGTTAACTCTGACTTAATTCGGCCTATTTTTGCAGACTGACTGTATAGCTAGAATATCACATAAAGGCTCGATTTGAGGTTCTTGTAACAACTCTTTCCTAGTAGCATCACTTCAGTATTAGGAAATTATTACTCCTAAAAAATTGGAGGTAGAGTGAAATGATGAATCTTCTATTTCTTATGCAGAGAAGGATTGCTACACAATTTGAAGGTCAGTGTACTTTAGTAACTGCTTCTGGTTCTGTGTAATGTTTACTTGGCCTTAATTGATCTGAATGTAGCATGGGATAGGGAATCATCCTGTCTTTCCCAAAATATTAGAATTTCTCATTTGATAGATACCTGAAAGTAAGTTAAAGATGCATATTTACGTAGCATGGCAACTGTGACTTAATTGGTTAAATAGCTGATCAGCCATAGTAGTTGAATCAAGTTATCACACATTAAGAGCAAGCAATAGATGTTTAACGTATGTGAGGTGTGCCATCCCCAGCAATCCTGGTTTCTCAATTTGTTAGGGTCTGGGTAGGGCAAAGGAAATGAGATTCTCGTCACATCAGTAAAGCATAACTATAGACAAAAGTATGTACATGTGAAAGAATGGCAACACTCGTATATTCAAAAAAAGTGTAGACTGACCTGCCTACTGCCACTATTTTCTTCCGGCATTTTTTCAGTAATTGATAGAAAATTCAATGAGATTAGGTTAGCTGTTTATCAGCTTTCATATAAATTCTGTTGTTCTATAGTAACAAGTGTTCCATAACAAGGAAATATCATTAAGCCGCATTATTACTTCATTCAGTCACAGGCAAATGGTGGCCGAAGCTTTATGAGATTAAGTTGCACCCGTGAAGACACCATTCAACGGAGACATTAAGCAGATCTGCATGCCCCCGGCATTTCCTTTTTCATAGTCCCGCTGTGGATATTCTTCTGCAAATTCTAAGTTATTGTGTTAGTACATCAATTTTTTGGGTCCACAGAGGAGAAACAATCATATTAAGATTTTGGAAATGTACTTATGTACATGCAGATTTTGTATATGTACTTCGAGCCACTTCATTCGGATTATGGGTTGCATTCTCATTTAATCTCTTTATGTTATCGGGTCGATATCCTCATCCTCCTGTTGCTTTTGATATTAGGGCTAGTTGCCAGTTTACATTGTCTGAGATTGAAGCAGCAACAGATGACTTTGCTGACGAAAATGTAGTTGACTAGAGTACAATAAAGCGGTTGCTCAGTAGCAGGTTAATTCGTGCACAATTTACTATCGATCTGATGCTTATTAGAGAACACTGATTGTGTTATTACACTGTCAATGCGTATAACTTAAACTTGTGAATATACTGGAAACTAATTGATCACTCTTATTTTCAACTTTAAAACTGATTAAGTATAGCCATTGTTAACTTCACATCATTGTTTGTAAGAGAATTTGCAATTAAGCTTAGTATTGTAGCTTAGTAAGAAAGGCATGTTGAAGAAATTCAAATCAATGTTTCATTTTATCTTATTATTTGCTTCAAACACTTGATGGCAGGGCTAAAGCAAAGGACTTTACAAGGGAGGTAGAAGCTTTATTGGGTCTCAAACATAGGAACTTGGTGAAATTGCTTGGTTATTGTTTTGAAGGATATTACAGGTACTACAAATCCTCTATGATCACTCGATTAAACAGACTTTCTATTGATGATATTAATACATTGAATGACCATTGTTTATAATTGGACATAGGATAATCGTGGACGAGTACATAGACAATGGCAATCTAGGGCAGTGGCTTCATGATTGCATCAGTGAAGTTAGCCCCTTAACATGGAATATACGGATGAACATTGTCCTAGGAATTGCAAAAGGGTGTGTGTTTAATTGAATTCCGTTGCTCTGAATCAACATTTGAAAATGATACCAAATTAGAACATGAAATTATTTGATTTTGTGCAGCTTGGCTTACCTTCACGAGGATACTGAACAAGCAATAATTCATCAACACCTAAAGTCAAGTAGCATATTGCTTGATAAGCAATGGAATCCAAAGATATCTGATTTTGGTATCACTAAACTCTTAGGTTCTGATGAATGGAGTTTCCTCAGGGTGAGTACTTGATACAGAATTTAACTTCTATACGCTAACAGTATAAAGCATTACACTATCAGGTCACCTAAAAGTTAACGTGTAACTTAGTAACCTGAAAAGGCAGTATATATAAGTTAAATCCCTTGATACATCTCGCAGTGCTTTAAACTTATATACAAACCCCACTATTGTTTGGTTTTATCCACTGGAATTTTAGATGATAAGTGTGATGTTTACAGCTTCGGCATACTTATGATGGAGATTGTATCTGGAAAGACTTCCATAGAGTTCTGATCCAGATGTAATCTATTTGCAGGAATATACTCTCTCTTTTATGATAAGCATTTAACAAACGAGTTTAACTTTTATACATCAACAATGTCAACGCTTTTTATATTATGATGTCACCTAAAATATAACAACATGCAACCATCCATAAGATATGTAAGAATTAGTAATCTGAAAAATAAGACATGTGACATGTTATCAATTATAACATATATATTGATCATTAGAATTGTAGTGTATGCTTAAATCCGGGATTGCTAATACAGGGACATGTTATCAAGAAACAGACATCCCGTCGCAGTTCTGTGAACGTTGAGCAGCTTCTGTCAAATAGCTAGTCAGCTCACATGCCAATGATGCTTGAGAATGTCTTATCTTGAAGCAGTTGTAATTGGTTCATCAATATCATTGTCAGATTTAGTAATTGGCGTTTAAGAATGTGTAATCTATACATATCATTAGTTTTTTCTTTTCTTTTTTCCCCATTTCATGGCAAATTGAGTCAATTATTACCTGGTTATCATTTTAATAGTGGCTGCTATTTGCAGGCTTAATCTGGAACTTATACTATATAATAAGCTCTCCCTCCTGAAATATTTTATAGGCTATTTTGTTTTTCCTTTTTCAACAAAATTGTTATGGATTATGTAGCAATTGTTTATTACTTAGTGTTTAAAAATTTCGGATTTAACCTATACATACTAACACCATCATACAGAAATTTTGCACTACAAGTGTGGTTTTACGGGGTGTCGTATGTTATTGACCTCTTTTCTTCGAATCACGAATTCATGCTTGGGAATATGACATTGTATAGCCGCTTTCAAAATAATAATCGAAAAAATATATTTTTTGTATATATATTTCTGTTTGTTATATACAAAAAATATACAAATTTTATGCACTTTTACGGCTATAGGATATAAATAATTTCGGCCGCAGGCTAAAAGCTTATGTGTGACTTTTAAGAAACTGTTAGTATAAATTCCTAAGCATATATTAATGGTCGGAGTCACTTGACTTGAAGGGACCGCTCGCATGTGTATCCACGGGCGTCCTATGATTTCTTGGTTCGTCACGTGGAAAGTTGTTTCCAGCGTGAATCCTCCCGCTAAGACGGGCAGTGCTATTCTCCGGACGTCCGTTCCACTGCATTGTTAAAACCGGTTAGTGTTATGCAGCGCGGTATTACCCTATCTTCGAGTCCCATTTGTACGAGGACCCTCGGGTGGATAATACAGGCGCCACTTCCGTCGTCAATCATGATTCTTTTAACATCTGTATCAGCGATACGTAAAGTGATAACTAAAGCATCGTAATGAGGGAAAGACAAACTGTCGGCATCAGACTTATCGAAGGTGATACTATATTCGAAGTCGTCATACCGTTCATGGGCGATGGTCCGCTTTAGTTTATGTGTGGTGGTGAACTTGACGTGATTGATCGCCAAGTCATCGCTGCCTCCGACGTCATATTTATCGTGCGTGCTGGGGAGGGTGGCTTCGGCGGCCCGTTGGGTTGTTCCCGTCCGCGTGCAAAGTTGATTTTCCCTTTGTCACTAAGTAATTCCCTCAGTTATCCTTGGTTCAGCATCCTGACCACCTCTTGCCGTAGGCCTATGCAGTCTTCGGTTTTGTGCCCCCGTTCTTGATGGAACTCACATAGAACGTTTGATTTCCTTGTGGCGGGGTCTGATTTTATCTTCTGCAGCCACCGCACTTTGGTGCCCAGCTTCTCCAGTGCGTACACTATTTCTGAAGGAGACACACAAAAGTTATGGGGGGATAATAAAGGGGGCGTACCTCTTTTGTTTCGGAGTGGGGCGACGTGTCGCTGTAGCACGTCTGTATGCCTTGGTGGCGGATGGGAGGATCTGGTGTATGGCTGATGTCGATCTCTGTTGGAGCGGGGGAGTTGTTCTCGTCGTCCTTCATTCCGTCGATCTCTCCTCGTTTCTGAGTTTATCGCTGTTAGCCGTTGGGTCGGCCCATTAAGATCATCCTCGTCCGCTCGTACCTCGGCGCAATAGGCGTTGTGGATTTCCTCCCATGTGGTAGGGGGATATTTCATGAGGCGGCTCAGCAACTTCTTGTTTGCCCTCGAACCATCCCTGCTTAGCCCGTTCTGGAAAGCGGCGACTGCCATACCTTCCGATACGTTTGGTCGACTCATCCTTACCCTATTAAACCTGGCTAGGAAGTCCCTGTGTCCCTCCCCTGCAGTTTGCCTGACGGTGAAGATGTCGTTGACCCTTGCTTCCGCTTTCTTTGCACCTGCATGGGCGGTGACGAACTTATCCGCCATTTCCTCGAACGTTGATATCGCCTTAGCTGGTAGCTGAGAGTACCACTTTAGGGCCCCTCCTGTCAGCGTCTCACCAAACTTCTTCAGCAGCACCGATGGTACCTGTTCTTTTGATAGGTCGTTGCCCTTTACAGCAGTGACATAGTGGATCAAATGATCCTCGGGATCTGTGGCTCCGTCATATACCCTCAAGTAGGGTGGCATCTTGAAGGTTTTTGGGATAGGGTGAGGGGCAGCTTCTTCAGTGTATGTTTGTTCAACGAACCTCCGCACGTCGCATTTTGGTAGCAACTTGGGAGCACCGGGGATCTTATCTACCCTCTCCTGATGTTCTTTCATTTGGTCGCGGAGTGCCTTGTTTTCATTCTCCATTTCTTCCATCTTCTTTAGGATGGCTGTTAGCGTGCCGTCGTTGGTCTGTGCCTCGATGGGTTTGTTATTTGCTCGTGCAGCTTCAGGTTCACCCACGGCAGCAGTGGTACCTACCGTTG